ACAAATCAACAGGGCGCTGAACGATCGCTCGCACAAAATGTGGCCACAAATTCGCATTCTGTCAAGTATGAAACGTTGAGATTTGGGCATGGGCGACTAGTGTTTTTACTGTATAATTTTATCAATAAAGTACATGCTAATATTGACACAAAGTTGTGCACGCGTCTGAATTTCTTTGACCTTTGACATAGACGCTTTCAAGTTTTCGAAAGTGAAACCAGACAACTTTTAAAAGACCGAAATGTATCACCTTAATGTCACGTTTTCGCCACCAAAAAGTTGAAGAACATAACGTGCGGGTTATCCACCAGTGCGGGTAATCTGTTGACTTTTTTTTTCGCCGTATGCAATAATCAACCGTAAAATTAGGGTAAGCAACTCTCTCGAGTTATTGCGCGGCAATGAAAAATATTTCAGAAGCGAAATTGCCAATTTACCAAAAATCCCCCACGTTTTTCCCACCTGGCTATTAGTTTTTGTTAGAGTTCGTTTTCAAGCGGTTCTCTTTTATCCTTTTTGGAATTTAGCTCACCTTCTTCCTTATAATTTTCATATTTCAGTTTACGATAAGTACTTGGTTACCTTGACTACGTTAAATAAAACGATTCAAGGCTTGTGCGCAAAATATATCTTCGCTTCAGTGTGTCTTTATTGGTGAAACTCATAGTTGTCGTCCAAAATTTGCTTCGCTTTTGTCGGCCGCAACAAGCAGAATTGTGTTCAATTTTTTTTTATCTCCCTTGTTATGAAACTATGGAATCGCCGTAATCTTTCGTCCTCCAATGGTTGGGCGTCAACACCGACTGAGTTGCGAAGCCACATGTTGAAAGAGAAGCAACTTGTAATGAGAACGCCTTTCCCAAAGAGGGATCTACTAACAATTAAATAATAAAAATCAATAATTTAATTTGAGCATATTGAAAATATCACTGATGTTATACATTCTTTTTTCGACAGTTGGAACCGATAACGTAAAAATGTCTAAAGCGAAGAGTGTCTGTGTGATCGGTGCAGGTCCCAGTGGTATGTCAGTATTGTTTCACTTTAATAAACTGAAAGAACAAGGCAAAGAAATTCCTGAAATTGTGTGCTTCGACAAGCAGTCGGACTGGGGAGGGCTCTGGAAATACTCCTGGGAAACTGGTAAGTACATAGTTTTTAGTGGCGCGTTGACACACTCTTATGCACAGCCTTTGTTTCTAGTCATTTGATCTTGCTATTTCTTTCTGGTTAAAAGTTGCATTTTCTTGGTGTAGATGAGGTTTAGCCGCTTGGAAGAGGAACCAACAGTACAATAAGTTCTTTTTGCTTCCTTCTTTAACATGCAGCGTCAACATTGCACCCAAAATAGCGCCACTAGGAATGTGGAAAATAAACGTAGGACAATATGAGCGGATCAGTGCTTCTGAATTAAGGGAAGGCAGAGTACAAAAAAAGTTTTTTTTTTGCGAAATCGATTTGAAACTTTAGCTTGATAGACCATTTGGTTTCTATGTATACTAAGAACAAACGGTTAAGGCAAACAATGATTTGAGTTCAAGAAAAAATTATACAATTTAATGATTATATTCTTTTAACTCTTTTCTTTATTCAGGTATCGATCAGTTTGGTGAACCCGTCCATGGAAGTATGTACCGAGGCCTCTGGTCGAATGGTCCGAAGGAAACTTTAGAGTTTCCGGATTACACGTTCGAAGATCATTTCAAAAAGGCAATTCCATCCTTCCCACCCAGAGAGGTTCTCTTTGATTACTTGAAAGGTATGTAATCTTTCCATCTCAACAACTTACCCGCTGGTTAGCTCTGTTCCTGATTTCGATCACTGTTTTTTTTTTCCCATTGTTGTGACTGGTTTTTCCTAATTCCGAGACGAAAAAAAAAACACAGACCTACCTCTTAAGGGAAAAATTAGCTGTAGACAAGCGATGTAGAGGTTATAAAATAAACACACAACTATTAGCACGTAACGTAACATATTTTCTCTTACTGAATCTTCTATAAGGTCGCTGGACTACAGCCGATCTTCGACACTGGATTCGTTTCAATCATGCCGTCCGCCAGGTGACCTACAATGATGACACTGACGACTTTTCAGTGGTTGTCAAAAGCCTTGTCGAGGACAAAGACCTTCCTGTTCAGAAGTTTGACTACCTTATTGTAGCGACTGGTCACTTTTCTGTGCCGAACGTTCCCTTTTTTCCAGGAATAGAGGAGTTTCCTGGCCGCGTGATGCACTCACACGACTTCCGAAATGCCTATCAGTTCCAAGGACAGACGCTTCTTGTGGTCGGCTCCAGCTCTTCCGCTGAGGATATCGCTTTGCAAAACCTCAAATATGGCGCCAAGAAGATCATTTGCTCCTACAAGACCAGGCCGATGGGCTTCAAGTGGCCCCCTGAGATCACCGAGAGACCACTGCTAACAAAGATCGAGGGCAAAACTGTCCACTTCAAGGATGGTAGCACTGCCGATGTGGACGCCATCATTTTATGCACCGGCTACTACTTCCACTTTCCGTTCCTTGAAGAGCGCCTCCGACTGAAGGCCATGAATATCTTGTACCCTGCCGGGATGTACAAGAATGTGCTGTGGACCGAGGCTGGCAACAACAAGGTTTTCTACATTGGAATGCAGAACCAGTACTACAGTTACACCATGTTCGACGCGCAAGCCAAGTGGACCGTGAATTGCATCATGGGGGAGCTCAAACTCCCTGAAAAGGAAGCTATGAAGAGGGACATTGAGAAATGGATCGCAAAGTAATAAATTATATAGCCATTTGTACTGGAATATTGAATGAATTATCGCGAATTCCTGCGCGGGTCTCGCCCCTTCAGTCTACTTGACTGCTCTAGAAAATTTGGCGTCGCCCTCAAAACTAATCAGAAGGAAACTAAAACCAACCGCGACTCGACCAATTGGAATCAAAGCCTAACCCAAAATCATTCATTGGACACTTGCGTTTTCCTGCCATTATGCCAGATTGCTTATATTCACTCTTAACTTTCATTGGCAACTTGTCCCTTTGATGTTACGACATACACACTCAATCGAAATGCGCTAAAAAGCACTTTATCATTGTATGCGGAAAACAGCTTCTTTGCTGTCGAAAGGGAGATCCGAACGTGTAGATATAAAGCAATCCTAGCTTACGGTATTAAAGTACTCCTCTCCTTTAGATGGGAGCTGTAAATTTCAAATTTCGGCATTTCATCAGAAGAAAAGTGACTACTGAACGGATCAGTTACTGAACATGTCACCAAATATACTAAAATGGAAGTTTTTTTATTTTTCCGCTATAATTGCAGGATGAATCAACTGAAGGACGGTCACGATAAGATAGATTTCCAGACTGAATACTTGGTCGACATCGCCAAGGATGCAAATTACGGATATGACCTGGACACCGCCCAACAGTTCCATGACAGGGAACATCACAAATATGAGGACATCCTAACTTACAGAGATCGAAGCCACACCAGCAAGTTTACTGGAACCCAGTCCCCAATTCACCACTCTACATTTATGAAAGCCCTCGATGACTCGATGGCGACTTTTCTGAACACCAAACTGTGAAATATTACTGGCTGGAAACAAATAAAGTTAGGCGTTACTGAGATGATTCTTGTTTTGGTGTGATTTTTAAAAGCACCAAGGACTGTAGAGGAAGAAAATATAGTAGTGAAAAAAACATTTCATTCTTGAAAGAGGTATTGTTAGGGTTGATATACTTCGTATGACTAAAACAAACTTTTAATAATCTGCGGTATTAAATAATGATTTCGATGTAAAACTTAAAGCGGCAGGTTCTAAAAAGTAGCTTAAATCGTTTCAAAGTTTAATGATTCTATAAAATGACATTGAAAATCATTGTAGAAAAAGTGTCGATTGTGGTTCCATGTTCGCTTTCTTCTAGGAAGAGAGAACCATGAAAAAATCGTAGTGGCCTAACCAGTTATAACCAGCTTCATCTTTTTTCTCCAAAGTTATCTCTGCCTTCCTGGAAAGAGGTCTTCAGCCACCTTTCTGTTATTGTGGCGAATACAGTTACGGACAAACTAGCACGTTAGATCTTCACTTCCGAGCTAGCCTGGGCAGATTCGTCCTAGACTACTATCTACACAAAGATCACGACAATGGTTTTAAATTCAAACTCTTCGGTTAAAAACCTAATGTGGAAAGCGGTTCAAAACAGATGATAGACACCTTTCGTGTCCATCTCGCAAGGTGTGACATAAGAACTTCGACTAGCCAGTCTGAAATCATTTCTTCACCGAGAATTTATTTGGTGTCCGTTTGCCGATGGCGAAATGGAATGAAAGAGTACATTAAAAAAGGACTGGGGTGCGGAGATATTGTAGTGGAGGGATAGATACTTTATTGATCAAAATCAACTTTCATCGCGTGCAAATTAGCAGCACATCATCATGGTCGATTACGATAACAGTGGGCGCATCAAGGACCTATTTCAGACTTTTCCACAAGCTTTAAACCATGAAATCGATGACCTTCACAGAGGTCTTTTAGCTCATTTTTTTTTCTTATCCTTTTTTCATTACCAGTGGCAAGCTGAAGTGTTGCCACACTGGCTACCAACCTCTTCCCCTCCCCCAAATGTAACCTTACCCCTCTTTGACAGGGTCTTAGAGAAGAACAATACCTGTTGGACACTGTGAACTTTGCAACATTGTGACACCTTTGGTAGATTCCATCTCATAACACTGGGAATTTGACCAATGAAATGAATTAGTATTTGAAAATGGATGTTGAATCATTCAACATCCATCTTAAAATACTAATTCAAGTTGTCTACAGTGAAATGGAGTAATTTCATTTTTACTTCAAACATTCCACAAAGAAAAGAGAAGGAAAACATATTAACTGCACTCCAAACATATCTACTCCACTCCTGATGACAAAGTCTACAATTTTCTTCTTCTGCTTTTTTCTTAACTCAGATGCCTTGATAAGTTACAGGAAACATGAAACCATAAATCTGTATTCATTTGTATTGCAATTTACTTTTTCACAGAATCATCATTTATATAATGCAGCTTGAACATCATTTCTTACAGTGGATTGTGTGATCAGCTAGAAATTACACCTTTCTGTCTGTCCTCTCACTTTGTGTATGCATAATTTTTAAACTTCAGCTACCCAGCCAGTGTCTATGCATAAATAACCTGTCTTTGTTCACCTGGCATTGTTTGCTTTACCAGATACCATTTTTACAGAATTTGAACAGAAAGCTTTTCTTGGTATTACCTCTTAGTATTTTTAAATAAAAATTCTACAATTCACGATTTAAATATAAACTTGAGGTTTCCTGACAGTTTTCACATTCCAAAATCTAGGGTAGTTTTTTTTTTTTTTACACATTAAATTTGGACCCATTAGAGAGTTTTTAAGTTAGATTTCTGTGTATTTAATTACTTTACATTTTTTTTCTATATTTATATCTTTCTGGCAATTTTAAAGAGAGAAATAACATTTAAATTACGTAAAATTCACGTTCCAGCCGCGATTTAAATCACGTTAGCGTCATTAAATAAAGTATATTCTAAATGCTACCTTGTCGATCGCTTGCACTTCTTACAGCCCATGCTTGGTTTTGTTTTTCTAAAGTATTAAAATAACCATTCGCACCTTCACGATTTTGACTACGTTGAGAATATTTATCTACTGGTTTATGTTCTGGAAGTCGCAACTCCATCCCTTCTACGTGATCGGAGCTAAATTCAAAAGGAGCAATACGATGTTTGCGCCCGAGAGAAGTCAACCTGTATGCTTGTGATGCATCAGGCTTACAAAACACTCTTTTGCATCCTTGGCGAAAATCCCCACTGAATAGGGCATATATCGCTACGTTTAAAGCTGAATTTGAAAAGGAGAGTATTAAAAAACTCATGTACACGTATAGCTTCAAATTATAGTTCAACGAAGAAAGAACGAGGCTTAGAAAGTACGGAAGACAACAACAAATAAATACGAGCCACTGAAGAAACAGCATACGAAGTACTTTGATTTTCGAACGAGGTACACGAAACGCATTCCGTCTGAAACTATTTGGGGTATTTTTCGCGTGAAGATTTCGAGTTATAACAGCGAATGCGATCCGTAAGTACATCACAACGGTGAAGATAAGAGGGGAACAAAACGCAAGAAAGAAAAATAACATTATGAAGACCTTCCATTCAACTCCTGTGACGTCGCCACGGCAAAAATTTTCGTTATCCACTTTGTCTGGTGACGTTGATGTGAAGAAATACAAGGTTGGTGCCGAAGAACAAATCATAAAGATCCAAACGAAAATAATAAGCTCTTTAGTTTGAGAACGGCTCATTTTGAACTTTAAAGGATGTACAATGATGTAGAATCGATCCAATGAAATACAGGCCAGAAGCCCCGAAGACACACCAGCGTTTAAGAAGTGGAAAAAGAAGGTCAGTTTACAAGTTACATCAAACAGCCACGATCCATGCATGATCCAAATCATGGTCCAAAGAATACACATGAACGGTACCGTCAAGTTTGATAAGCCCAAACTCAAAACAAAATAATTCGTGGTCCATTCGCTTCGCCGACTTTTCTGTATGACCAGCAGAATAAGCCCATTTCCGAGCACAGATCCCAAAAAAATAACCGACAGTACGAACATTTCCGCAAAAACAGCCCCAGAGCTCGAACATCCAGGACTGGAGACGACAATTCGATCGGAACAATTCGCCATGTCCATGTCGACGTCCGCCATACTTTTCAAAGCAGTTGTGTCTCATGTAAACAAACCGGGAATGGTAAGTTACGCGTTCCATTTGCTTGTAAAGAAATCGACTTCATTCGCCTGGTCGCTATCTGAAGGGAAATTCATTCTTTAAATAGTGACTATATTCGTTTAAATTCTTCTCCCATGGGTACCATAAGCTTATCTATTACAACAATTCGGCCAACCTTTTCGCAATCGCTCACTTTCTCTTCAAATGCAAATTATTAGGTCTGTGCAATCGGATCGCATGTTGTTTTTGTCACCTTGTCGCTGGGATACGGGACATCTGTCACTCACCAAAAGAGTAGAAGGACGTAATTTTCTTTTACTAGAGAGAGGATATTTTGTTAAAATCTTACTAAGGATCAAACAGTCACAAAAGAGGCTCAACGCTAAACAAAACACGGTGATTTTCGTGAGAAGGGACACTTACAAGTTTCCTTCATTCAATATATCACAAAGAAACAATATTATGGTCGATAGTAAAGACAGGTGAAAGAAACCTATTATCGGCAACCGCTCTAAGATTCGAATTCACAAAAAAAGGAAAAAATTGAGACAAAGCAGTCATTTATAATAAAAGGCATAAAGGTAACTACATTTAAAACGGTTGAGAATAACCCATACCGACGGGTACATTAATACGAAACATTTGATTTCATAATAACTCTTCGATGTGCATGGAAAGACACAATATATCTGCATAAAAAAATAATTATTCACGGATTCATTAGTTAAATGATCGCTAAAAACATACCAATCACAAGATGTTTTCTATAGTTTGTGTATACTACAACAAGCATAGGCAGAATAAGGGACCGTAATCACGTCAAATTTCAACAGCTAAAGCTTGCTAAGTATTTCGGATGTAATTTACCGTAAAAACATTGCTTTCGTTTTCACCTATATTGCAACGAAAGTGTTTATAGTGATCTAATATACTTTTTTAGAATTTTCTCTGGCCTTCAAGCATTATTTGAGCCGTTTGGATTCTGAGCGTACAATATTGCGAAAAGAGGTATTTCCTTTAAATAACACTGTCAAAGAATCGAACCACAAATTGACACAGTGAATACTAAATTTCAGACACAACCAACTTCAAAACTCTTGATACTCATAAGTTTTTCTTATAATTAAATTTTATAATTCTAGTTATTTAATTTCTTTTATCTTCTTTCCCTTTTTTTCTCTTCTTTTTTGCATTTGTGAGCAAACTATCGTCACACAGCAATATAAATATTTGCGATGAGGGAAGGGCGATGCGAAAAATGTCGGAAACGAAATTGGAAACATTCCCACCCGTGTAATTGGCGTGAAGCGTAAAGTATGTCGCAAAATTAAAATGGACATCACTGACTTAACTTGATCTTTTTTATTGTTTGTTATGCGTATATAATAAATATATGATATACCACGCCATAACTATTCACTCTATGAGCTTAAAAATATACCTCTTTAATCCTTTAGAGGACAATAATGTGTCGACTTTAAATATTTAATTCACGTAAAAGAAGCGGGTTCAGTTTTAAAATTAAAACAGACACGACTTACACCAGCTACAGCTTTAAAATTAAACAGGATAAAAACTCATGCTGGAGCTCAAAATAAGATCAGAAATTAATCTATGACTTCCTTGTAAAGAAGGCAGATACTCTAAAACTCCACAAAACAAAAACGTCTTTCAAAGTTGCACTCAGAATTTTAACGCAACTCAAATCAGCCTTTGTTTCTTTTCCAGATAGACATTAAAAATTGTTGTTGTTTTCTTTCCTTTCGCAAAAAAAAAAAAAACACTAGAATGGAAGCCATTGAGACCAAAAACGAGGGAGTGTAAGATCTATGCCCATTTGTTGCATTAATTACTTCACAGGTCATTTGATATCAATTTCTTAGCTTTAGCTTGGCGACGGGCAAAATAGACATTATTTAACGTATGTAATCAGTTGGCGAATAAAAAGCTGTAAAATTTGATGTAACTTTTATATTTTTATAATAACAAGGACTTTTAGAGAATAGTAGTTCTGGTTACTTATCTAATATATCGGATTTCAAATCTATTATAGTTGTGTATGGTTTAAAATTTTATTGTTGATAACGTCGTATCATAAATCTGTCGGCCGCACATCCCCGAGAAAGTGAAGACATAGGTGTAAACGTCAAAAGATGTCTTCGGAAAGTCTTCGGCAAATCCTCTCAAACGAAGAACCCATCAATCACGTAAACCGAGCGTTCTCCTGACTGAATCGTCGGCAATAATCAGTTCCTCTCAGGAATGCTTTTCGTAAACAGTGTCACGAAAACACCCCGGATTCCATCTCGCTGATTAACTTGGCACAGTTAATTCCTCTACAAGTGGCGCGGTTTGGGCGAACCATAAGGCCGTGTTGTGGTTTGCTGTAAAGTTATGTTAATGGTATTTTTCGAGTTAATTTCGGCTGTAGCATATACTCTTGGAATTAGGTCTTTTCAAGTTCGATTGAAATGGAAATCTCGACTTTAAACTCGCTAGACGGCAAATTTTGTTGAATGTCAATTCCTTAGGATTCAACGAGCAGCCACGAACCACTGAAGTGGCAAATGCGACGTTGCCTTTGATTTTAAGGTCGTAACCAAGTTTTCAGGCGGGACAGGGGGTACAACAAAGTTTTCTTGGTATTTAGGAGCATGCCGATTTGTTGATGTTGTTGTTGACAATAGGCCGGAAAGGAGGGGGATAACCCGCCTAATCGTGGTCGAAAATAGCCCGCGTTTACATGTAATCTCATTACCCCGAGATCTCGGAATGAAGGTCTTTGAGGTTGTTGCATGGTCGCCAAGCGTATAAAAAGACAAAATGGCGAGCGAACGATGCTTTTTGGCTGTCAATACTCTTTTCCTTTCATTCGGTGCTCTTGTTGCGACTTTTCAGTGCTTTTTTTTTCATTTTTTTGCATCTTTTTTTTTTCATTTTTTTGCAGCTTTTTTTTTCATTTTTTTGCAGCTTTTTATTTCTTGTTAACCCTAATCATAAGCATGAAAAGTTTAACTAAAAATAACGAAGAAAGTAGATAGAAATTAACGCAAAAAACTCACCACGAGAAGTATTTCTTGCCATTGACCGAGCCGTCGTTCTTTCCAACTGCAAAAAAAAAGGTTTTAAATAAACTACTTGATTAGAAAGACTTCGTTCTTCCCAAGCTACAAAAAAAAAAGACACTTTCAAGAGAGAGTTCAGTTTACAACTCCAACGAAAACTATTCAGCACATTAAGAAGAAAAAAAATTTCAAGTTTTTTTCATAAACACGTATGGGAGTGTATAGGTCAAGTGAGCATATGAGCCAGACTAACATAACAACAGGAGACAAGTCGGGTTACTATAGCAACAAGCAACATCTCGTCAGAGTATACTATTATCTAAACACGTCCCATGGAACCAACAAAGATAACCTTTTGACAATCGCGGGTTTCTTCAGTCGGCGTTCATTTCCTATACTCAAGGGTGATACTTTAAGAGGCAATTTCGTTGACGATCGTGTCTCGCCCGCTAAAAATTATCATAAGACAAAAAACCCTCCTGGCAAGAAAATACCTGTTTCTGATAGGTATTATTGAAAACTTCGAGTCGATGAAAATCATATTATCACAGAAACGACTATTCTTCACTTTGATAGACATTTGAGAGACTTTAAGCAAAATAAATTCCCTACCGGCCAAATAGAAGTCTACATTTTTCAAACTTATATATTTTATTTTTTCACGCAACGCTCACGGGAGCAGGACTTAATGTACAGCTGTTGAGGAGACTGGTTGACTACAGGGAAAAACACACGCACGCATGAAAGAGAATTTGACAGACTGCCAAATAAATACTGTTTACCTATCTGCTGATATAAATGTTCTCAGTGGTTTGAACTATCGGCTGTCATTTTGAGAAAGAGTTTATTACATATTTTAACATTAAAAATAAGGTTTTGTATCGTACCAGGTTTTCTCATTTCTACACCCAACCATTTCCCTTCTGCAAATTCCGCTGGGCCAATGTATCGCACAACGCCTAGTTCGCCGTTAACAAGCACACTTAGACCCTGCAAACAACACAATGAGAATGAAAAAAAGGTAGTTGGGGAGAAAAACATCAAGTAAATTGTAGTTTGTAAAGAACTCAGAATTTTTTCTGTCCCACGCTCGTGACTAGACGAAAAACATTTTCCTCTAAATTATAGTTGAGTTTGCAAATGTGTCAGAATCAATGCAAACTAAATTGTGCAATATAAAAATATCTTGTGGGCGTTATCCAGGTTTTCGAACATACAGCGACTTGGAGTACTGCTATTCTACTGGGTGAAAACTAATTGAATAAATGTTATCCCTCTGTCAGTTTCTCAGTCAGATCCTTGGTATCTATCTATGCCACTAGGTGGGGAGAGCTCCCATTCTAAGTATATTCAGCTATGAGAATTCCGTGTCTTGCCTTGACAGAAATACAACGCAGTGAGCCCTTATCTCAAGGCTCGAAGTCTGCCTTTCCTTCCGAAGGCGCAAGCACGATTGAGGCAAATATATACTTCTTACTAACCGAAATCGTGGTCCTTCAAATTACAGATCGAGTTCTTCCAACCCAGATTTGCGCGGGTCATAAATCCCAGTGGAAAAACGCGGTTCTGTAACTTACAGTACGGACCACGAAATCGAGGTTTGTGGGGTATTTATCTATCTCTGGGTTCAAACAGAGGTGGAGAATTTCAATTTAAAGGAACTTTTGAATTTAGCAGGCCGTGCAGAGAAATACAGCAGCTGAGTTGACCAATCATAACACACCTACTAACTGAGAGATGTAATAATAACTCTTAACTACGCGCAAGCTGTGTTTAGGCGATCGAGGAGTGCCTTTGTAGACACACTGTCAATTGTGTGCGGACTACTGAACATTTTATTTACCGTAGTAAGTTGGAATTCTGCTGACCCTTTTCCTTTCTGTTGAGGTAAACTACCCCTCCGTATTGTCTGCAAGCTTCTGAAACGGATCAAGATTTTCATATTTGCAAAAACTGAATTACCATCATTAGCCTTAAATTGTCAGTTATAAATTGTAACTTAGTGATAAGTTTCCAAAACTGTAAGGACAATCAAAGAACCACGAACTAATTTCTAATCTTCATACTTATCAGAAGCAACTGAAGATGCACTGCCTCGTCTTGGTGTTTGTTGGTCCGGGTTGGACTGGGTCGATACTTTCCTCGCGCTACTGTTGAG